AGCATACACTACATTACTCTGTTTTTGCCGGGGTTTCCCTGAAACTCAGACTGAAGAAGTCTCTTGGAGGAGAAATGAAAAGTTTCACTAAAGAAGAACCCGTTCAGAGGACCTACTTATTTTTTTCTTTTTGATGTTTTCTACCTGGATTATTGAGATGCATCAGGACATATCCATCATTGCTGTTTACATCCCCCCGGACGCAGACACAAGAGCAGCCTTGGACACCCTCTACAACTACATCAACAATCTGGAAAGCACMTGTCCTGAGGGAGTCTTCTTTGTGGTAGGAGATTTCAACCAAGCTGATTTGAGAAAGCTACTCCCWCATTTTTATCAACATGTGGACTTTGCGACCAGGGGAATCAACACACTGGAAGGCAGCCCCCAGCCCCCACCTTGGCTCATCAGATCACATCTGTGATGTTAACACCAGCAGACAGACCTCTGCTTACCACGACAAAGGCAACACTGCAGGGCTGCTTTGAAACCACTGACTAGGACATGTTCAAATCAGCTGCCACTAAAAACCAGGAGGTTGACATTGATATGTTGAAACTGTGTCTGGCAACATTCTAAAGTGCACAGAGGATGTCCGCACAACAAGACGCATCACAATAAGAGGAAACGAGAAACCATGGATGACTACGGAGGTGCGAGCCCTCCTGAGATCAAGACACACAGCTTTTAAATCTGGAGACAATAATGCCCACAGAACAGCTAGAGCCAGGCTGAACAAAGAAATCAGACTAGCTAAATGGGCCCACGGACACTAAATTCAAGACCACTTCCAGGAGGACAGAGACAGCAGGAGTCTGTGGCAAGAAATCAAAACAATCACAAATTAAAAGACCACTCCACATTCCTGCGATGGAAACACCAACTTCCTGAACCAACTGAACAACCATTTTGGACGGTTTGAGGCCCTCAACACACTGGTGGTAAAGGCAACTGGAGACTATGAGGAACAGGTACTGCATCTCAGCTCAGCTGAAGTCCTCCGCACCCTAAGAGGGATCAACCCGAGGAAAGCTGCTGGTCCTGACCAGATACCAGGCTGTGTGCTTAAAGAGTGTGCAGGACAGCTGACACATGTTTTTACAGACATTTCAACATCTCCCTGCATCAGGCTGCAGTTCCATCCTGCTACAAAGAGTCTGCAATCATCCCGGTTCCTAAAAAAACCGCAGTAACATCCTTGGATGACTACCGCCCTGTAGCATTAACACCAATAATCATGAAGTACTTTGAAAGGATGGTCAAAGATCACATCACCACCATCCTCTCAACATCACTGATCCACTACAATTTGCATATCGCCCACACTGCTCTGAGGACGCCATATCCACTGCACTCCACCTGACCTCGAAACACCTAGAGAACAAAAACACAATGGTCCGGATGCTTTTTGTGGACTTTAACTCAGCCTTCAATACCATAATCCCACAGCACCTGTTAAACAAACTGGACCAACTTGGAATGAACACCCTGAGAAAGTGGATGCTGGACTTTTTAACAGAMAGACCACAGTTCATACGGGGAGGAAACAACAGGTCAGACACCATCATGCTGAGCACAGGCGTCCCCCAGGGATGTGTGTTCAGTCCCTTACTTTATACCCTGATGACCTACGACTGCTGTGCCAAATACAAGACGAATCACATATAGTATGCAAATGACAACAATGGTGGATCTCATCCAGGACGGTGAGGACAAACACTACAGAGAGGAGGTGGACCTCTTTGTACAACGATGCAGCAACAACAACCTGCATCTAAACGTAAAGAAAACAAAAGAACTGGTGATCGACTTCAGGAAGAAACAGCCTGAGCATTCACCGCTCCTCATCAACACTGCGTTAGAGATCATCCCGCATATCAAGTCCTTGGGGGTCCATGTTGCTAATACTCTCAGCTGGTCACTGCACAACAACTACATCGTGAAAAAGGCCCGCCAGCGACTTCACTTCCTGMGCAGGCTAAAGAAAGCACACCTAAAAACATCAATCCTCACAACCTTCTACAGAGGCACCATTGAGAGYGYACCCAAGTCTGAATKACAATCTCATCTWCCTGCTCAGAATTATTTTTCATTGCACAGCTGCTGATCAAACACTTCCTGAACTGTATCTCATCTACCTGTTCAGTGTTTTCGCACACAGACTGTTATACATTGTACAAATGCACACACCTTACTACATTTCTTTTTATTTAAACCACCACAACCTCGATCTTGATTCTACCTCACTATTTCGATTTTATTTTTATTACTATATTATTTTCTGTTTTGTTTTATATGCTTAACATACTTTACACTGTCTAATTTAGTATTTTAAACTTTACATTACTTTTTAGTTTATCAGGCTGTTTATGTCGTGTGCTATATGCATTGTAATTTCATTCTACAGGGCATAACTGATGTTATGTTTGAATGACAAAGAATCTGAATCTGAATTTCTGCCTCATTATGTAAATAAGGTGGGCGGGRCTTCTTGAGTCAGCTCCTCTCCTATTGGTCAACAGAGAAGAAGGAGCAGGATCCATGTGCAGATCTACWGTGCTGCTGTTGCCTCAGTTTAGCTTAAAACAACAAAGGCACTGGTAAGTGTTTCCCTCCTTTCCTTTGTTTTAAACTCAACTTTAAACTTTCAGCTAAACTGAGGCACCTCAAGAAACACGAAATGTAAAAACAAAGAATGGAAATAAAAAGACTTGTGGTAAAAATGCTAAAATATATATTTATAATCATTTAAGAGACAAATGCATCTACAAGTAAAATATATTTTTATTTTTCCTTTTACTTGTAGATGCATTTGTCTCTTAAGTGTATTTATTTATTTAGTGGTCCATTTATACATTTCTGCTTGTCAGATTCGGTCCTCCAAATAAATGTACATAATTTAGCAAAAAATAAAATATATTTGATATCACAGCTACAGAACTCATATATATGGTAAGAAACAAAAACTATGGAAATTTCTTCCTTCACAGATTCACAGAAAAACATCCAGTCACCAGCACACTCACCTCCGTCCTGGTCCGCCCTGATCTGGGCCTCCAGGTCCTCGGGGTCGACGTACTGATAGCTCTCTTCGTCATCGGAAGGTTTGCACTTCCCGCAGCACAAACAGCAGCAGCAACAGCAGCAGCAGCAGGTGAAAACTGTGCAGCACAGCAACAGACTCTGCAGGGATTAAAACACACAAAACATTCTTCTGAGCCATATGACAGGAGACAGAACTTAATCGTGTCCAGACTGTCAACTGTGAACAATGAGGCCTTTTATCCCATCCTGTCGAACAGATTACAGCTCAGCCAGAAACGCTGACACATTTAGGAGCCGTATGACATCCAAGAACATAAAGATAATCCAGGAGGTTGTTTTTTACAAAGTTATCAGTTTTGTTTCAGAAACTTGAAGCAATAACACATAAACACAACACAATAATCTATGGCTTTAACATGTATGACAGTGTCAACAACAAAAAAAAAAAGGGCAGCATCATAAGCTTTCCAGATGCAGCACATCTGCTGCACATCTGTTGTATTAGAAAGCATTACACTGAGCAGAAGATGTCATCTCTAATCCACAACGCCCGGTCCGATGACTGAACGTGTGCATTTCGAAGATTCTCGAAACGATCCATCAAAAACCATCAMCGCTCATGTAGATATTCCAGCTGTTTTATAGTGAGATTATGAGGAAACGTWATGAACCAATGAGATTTTACATTTTGTTGACAGCTCCTTGTTTGAACAGCGAGTCCAGATTTAACMAAGACTAAAGTGGATTGCTCCATGTCTTCTTTCTTTAAACATATAAAAAAAAACAATAAAATTAAAAATAAACACTATTTGTAAGTTTGGTTTTTAATTAGCTGGAAGGTTTGAAAATTAGAAGCAACTACAAGACAATTTAGGTAAAATAAGAAAAAATCAGCAGAAAATCACGTATTTTAACTGTTGAATACATTTTGTTGTGTTCTTGGAGTCTCTAGGAGGCAGAAAAGTTACATTTAGTTTTAAACGTTTCTGTGCAGCTATATAGTCGTAAAGTCCTCTATCAAACTGGAATAGACCACTCTGGAAGCTGGAGGTGGGCGGGGCATGAAGCACCTCGTTTGGACTTAGACAACCTCAAAACAAAACAAGTTGGGACACACCCCAGAAAAAGGGCGGGGCTTGTGGAGTTACCATAAGGAGGAAATTCAGACCAAAGCGTTGCAGTTCCACTTTATATAGACCAGGCATTTAGCTAGAGGGGCGTAGGGGTGTCTTTACAACCTGTTCTGTTTTGCGACGCCCTTTATCTGCGGGCGATGCCTCAGGATTCCCACCGAGTTTTTTTTCTTTTTTACTCTACGTAACCCTGCCAGGTTACGGATGGAACTTTGAAGCCAGGGGAACACAAAAATTAATTGCACTGGCTTAGACAGAGGAGGTGGGTAGCGCTGTTACAGTGGCTGAAATGTGTCGTTTTCACAATTTCCGATCATAMCTTTTTTTGCCTACATAAATTTCGTAAACTTGCATCAATAATATGGGGGGGTTGTTTTAAAAGTGTCAACGTCAACCTTCAAAATCCTACCTAAAAAAGCCTGATGTAGACCCAAACTGAAGGATTTACCTGTAAAAAAGAAGGATTTAAAGACATCATACGTTTATTTTAAATGATTATTGTCAAAACAAATCGTGTCTTCTTGGAATAACAGAACCTTTACAAAGTAACTCAAGAAATGACAGTTTGTAATGTCAGATTCTACATCTGTGCATTAAATCAATCTTTCCCCAAAAACAAATCTCTGTTTTAGTGCTGCTACTCAGATTTTAGGCTTTTTCATCTTAATGTGGCATGATTAAGAAAGTGCGTGAAGACAAACAACTTTACGAACCTTAAACCACCATTTGGACATGAGGAAGTAATATTTAACGCTCTCCTCTCCGAACTGTTCAGACACGTAAAGCCCCATGGAGCCATACTCGTCATAAATCTTCCTCTTGTTCTCGTCGTTTAAAATCGAGTTGGCGTTGTTGATCTCCTTGAACTTCTCCGCTGCTTCTGGGTTGTCGGGGTTCTTGTCTGGATGGTACTTCAGAGCGAGTTTTCTGACGAGGGAGAAAGAATTAAAGAATGAAACGAACCAGTCATTCATGATAGCTCTTCGCTGACTCCATCATGTTGACGGTGTGTTATTAATAAAATAATAAAAAACCTGAGTCACAATTAAAAAATTCAGGGTTTAAGGACATACTTAAAGCAACATTTCCAGGGTGGAGTGCTTTACTGCTCTGCAGAGACTGGCCCTTCTTAAAGAGGCAGCTAAGACTCTTAAGTTGAGTAAATATTCAGATGACTTCATGTTCAAACAGCTTACCTGTATGCTTTTTTGATTTCTTCTGCTGAAGCTCCTTTCTCAAGGCCTAGCACCTTGTACACGCTCTCTCCCGAGGTGGACATCTTCCTTTGGGGGCGGGAGGAATTCTGTTCAGCCATGGCTCACTTCTGAGAAAAAAAAATAAACGAACAAGAAAAGATTTGAAGATGATGTCACATCTCAAAGATCAGACCGTCAAATCTTAACGCTCTGCTCTGATGGAGCAAATAAGGAATCTTTAACAATAAGTCAAACACATTTTTTGCATTTCGTAAATAAATATTTACATCAAAAGTTGGTCAAATGATAAAACAACGCATTAAAAATTCACTTCTGACGTGTTAAAAAGGGACAAAAATTCTATTACATTACATATCTAGTTATTACCTCCGCCAAAGGCGAGGTAATGTTTTCGGTCRCGTATGTCTGTCTGTCAGTTTGTCTGTCGTTCTGTCTGTGGACAACATTACTCAAAAACTTGTGGACGGATTGTCATGACATTTTTACCACACGCGGGTACTGGGCCAAGAATCACCTTTAAGTTTTGGTGATGTTCCGGATCACGATGCGGATACAGGAATTTTTTTTCTTTTAACACCCAGATCTGCAAAGCTGTGATGCTTTCACAGGGCTTCTGTAAAAAACAGTGAGCTGGATTGGACAGCACGGACTTCAAACTTTATTAACGTAATGTTAAAACCAGATTTAATGATGAATAATTTTTATCATAATATGCACATTTACAGAACGTTTTGTGACCAGGAAGTGCGTGACTGCACCGTGAAACCTATTTTCTCCCATTTCCTCAAACACACTACATAGTCGGTAGGCTTGTAAACAGATTGCTTCTGGCATTTGGAGACAGGAGTAGTGTTGTTACCTCTGAGTTAGTTAGTTTGTTTGGCATGGAAGAGGCAAACTGCACCACATGAGTGACGCGCTCTGGTGCGGTGGACCAAAAAAAAAAAAACAAGCTAGTGGACGTCGAGTGACGAGTCTGACATTTTTTTCTCATTGGACTCCCCCGGGAAGAAATCCTGTGCATACTGCCTGCTTAAATGTTCGCTACGTCAGAACTTATTCTGCAAATGTGTTTCCATCTCTGCTTTTGTGCATTTACTCTATTACAGGATGGGGGAAATTGGCCTTGGTGGAGGTCTGCACTCTCCGAGTGCTTCTAGTCAGTATGCACTGCCAAGGCAATGCACACTATTGTGATTCGTTTCCCATCCAAGTCATTCCAAATTTGGCATGCTTCTCCTCCTGCACACTTTGTCCTAGAGCTGCCATTGTAATTTATATCCATGAAGCTCCTGTGCCAAAAGATGGCTATGCCTTTTGGTGCCTGTAAAACTTATAGTTTTTGAAATATTAACTGACATAATTAGAAATAAAAGCAGAATTATATCAATGAACTACTAAATAAATACACTTAAAAAGGGATCCATGA